AATATGATAGGTTATCGGACAAATGAACAAACCGGTTGGGCCAATCATAGGAAAGGGACAAAGGTCACACATTCAACCACGGTCAGTGAACACATGACAGGATTCAGTCCTAACAGGGCAGGGCAAGACTGGCCACAAAGTTCAATTTAAAAGGTCTTTTTACTTCCTTTTTATTTTTGTTGAACATACAAATGTACAGGAAACTTTCAGGATGGGGGCTGCGGCCATACATAGGCTGCCTGAGGAAAATACAGAAATAGGGAAAACGGGCGACGGAGTAGAGGCTCGAACCCGGGACTTCCGGGTCATAAGTTGGTGACCTAACCACTTGGCCATCACCGCCCAATGTTCACACAAATTGGGTTTAAGCCGTCTAATGGTAGAGGCTTCAGCAAACTGATTTAGACGATGTTATTGTTGTCTACTTGTGATTCTATAAGACTTGCTTGGTTTCACACACAAGTTGCAGTCTAATATGTGGCGAGCTTTTCAGAACTTTATTCTGATTCAGTGCTAGACTCTTGGGAATGCATTTCGAAATCCTTTTGGGCAGCCTTCTCTCAGTTCTCCATTTTCGAGCAGGGTCGACTGAATTGAAAGAAGATTACTGTCCAAGGACTCTTCTGAACCAGTTCGACGTGCTCGTGTGATTAGATTACGAACAAGGACACACTTGTAATTTATAAGACAGCAACGTTCGAAGTTCAAATACTGACCGGTCCATGTCGGCTTATGAAACACGGAGCGGTTCACTGTGCTATCTTCTCTGCTGGCTAAGTGTAGATTGAGGAATGGAAAAGTTCCTTCTGATCCATGCTGCATTGTAAAATCAAGATCCGTACGGAAGCCGTTCATGTCCTTCAACAGTTGATTTGCTTGAATAACATTGTCAACAACGATATGTTGATGACACATTCGTCGTTTTTGACAATGTAGATCAAGCAAATCAACTGTTGGAGGATATGAACAGCTGCCACAAGTATCTTGAATTTACAGTAGAGCATGGATGAAATTTGTTAGGGGAACTGGATGTATGTATGCAATTCTATTTAATTCTTCAAATCCTGCTCATTAGAACATAGTTTATAAGTGCATTCAATTAAATTTGTTACCTTGAGTAGCATCCAACCGGTGAAACTTATGATTCATGAATAAAATGATTGCAAAAATCATATCCGCAAAAATAGCACCCCGCGTCAAACGTCATAGATTTGTGATGGAGAAAGATTCACATCATACCCAGGTGAGAAACAGAGGTTATGGGACGATGTGCGAGATTTTCCGAGTTCGATAAACGAACGAAGAAATCTGGTTTATAAGTGTATAACAAAAGATGGATATCTGATCGCTAGATTTAAAAATACGTAGTGGCTTGGAATTGGGTAGCTTAGGAGATAGAAACATTTGAACTTTTGGCACACGCTATTCCCAAAACTATAAAACCATCAGAAAGAACGTGAGGCGAGGGAGATTTCAGTCAGCTAAATTGTCGAAATAGTATAAGAGATCGAACTCAAGCATACATGTCAAAACATAACATCGGGATAACAAACGTATACATTTTTGAGTTGGCCAATCTAAAGTGAGAAGGTATCCAAGTGGGAGAAATGCGAACGTCTCAAGAAGCTAGTTTACTGTCTGGATGAGGCTATTATGTCACAGCTGTTTGAAATTACCCATAGAAATCAATGCCAATTTTCTTCCGATGCCATTCATTTTCACTCAATCTTTATGAAAAAAAGTCTCACAACACACACCAAATCAGCCGCAATTGTTTCCCCCGCATGACAGCGTCTTTTGTGCATCTTGTACATGCCCCTCCACAATCCGTACAAAACAAACCGATATAAAAAGGTATGATGCCTGAAACGTTTACCCCTAGCTGACTAATGATTTTTCCGATGACATAGAAAAAGAATATTGCAAAAAGTAGCGACTTCATTTGTTTGCAAAAACCGTTTCATGCAAAATGTGAACTACACACGAAAATCATCAAATGTTCACCAAACCAACCGGTTTCCATACGGTTTAGCACAGATGTTTTTATCTTGTTTTTTTTTGTCAAACCCGTAAATGCGCCCAATTATTGGGTCCATTTGTTTCTGCCCCGAATACAATGGCTGTCTCCTGATCTGATTTCTTTTGTATATATATATATATATATATATGTGTGTGTGTGTTTCGAGTGCGTGTTAACCTAGCCACGAACTTTACGACCCTTGTTGCTTTTTGTACAACCAATGTTGCATTCAAATGCACAGAAGATTTTGCTGTGCTTCTCTCACCGATTCTGGCCGTCGTGCGTAGGCGGTACACACGAACTGCTCAATCTGAAATTGTTGCTGAAATTCAGTCATATTTGGCACAACGCTTACTGGACAAACTGGCCGCCCATCATTCGTTCAACAACAGTTGATGTTCCCCCTAAATCTCAGACAACCTGTCGGGATCAAACAGCCTATGTAAGTGCAATCTATTTGTTC